ACACATCAGGTCATTTGCTCTCTTGCAGAGACATCCGTGCTTGTAGGTTTTGTCATCGCTTATTTATATGGCTGGTTCTTCCAAACAAGTCAAATCATTAAAAAATAACTGGTCTTTCCACCTAGAAAATATTTTAACAGAAACAATGATGATAATATTTTCAGATAGCTGTAGTAATAGGCAGATTTCACAATTGGCTCTTTTCTTTCCCCCTGCCATGCATAACTTAGATTATGAATCCCTTGGCTAAAAGACAGTTGATCTATGTCAGTATTAAAGACCTAATATCTCAGGGGATCAGAAAGAAAAACCATAGAAGGAGAAGCTTTTTCAATGAGACATCTTATTCCAAACTGTTGGGCTTTGTTTCCAGGCAATATAAAAAACAACAGGTAAACAGACTGTCAAAACTGTTAAGTGGAATCTTGCATTATTCTGACATTTTTATAGTGTGGAATATAAGAAGAACGAATTTTCCATTTTCAACAATTTCTGTGAAAGGTAAATTAATTCCAATTAACTAGTGAAAGCCCTGGGAACAGCAGGGAACTACAAGCAAGCAAAGCTTATTTTAAACCATGATTTGTTTCATTTTACAATGGCAATGAAAAGGGCCACTGTAAACATGCTTATTTCAAAACAGTAAAGGTTAATTTCCATGTGAATGCATTGAAGTGTGGGCACAGTGTCTTTCACATTTGAACATTCATTTAAAATACAGGCAGTTCTCAACTTACAAGAGTTCATTTAGTGACTGTTCAAAGCTAGAATGGCACTGAAAAAAGTGACTTATGATCATTTGTCACAGTTACAACCTTTGTAGCACCCCAATGATCATGTAATCAAAATTCAGATGCTTGGCAACTGTTTCATATTTATGACCGTTGCTGTATCCCAAGGCCATCTTTTGCAACCTTTTGACAAGCAAAGTCAATGGGGAAGCCAGATTCACTTAACAACCAACTTACTAACTTATCAACTACAGTGATTTATTTAGCAACTGTAGCAAGCAAGGTCATAAAATGGGGCAAAATTCACTTAACAAATGTCTCACTTAACAACGTAAATTTTGGGCTCAATTGTCATAATTTGAGGACTACCTGTACTGTACTGACAATCTTGATTCCTTATCATCCCTGATCTCTATTCTGTTGTTTTGTTGTTGTTGTTGTTTCTCCTTGCCCTGTTATACATGTCCACACTATAGAAAGTACCCAGATGAAAAAGTTTGACTACATTTGAGGTAGTTTTAATTTAGTAGTGAAAGAAATTCATTTTACCACATTTCAGCATTTGCTGGGGGGAAAAAATCTTTTCATTTCTACTTCATTGTGCACACATTTGTCCTCCTATGCACCACCTGGCAGAAATGGATTTCTTTGTATCATGATTTTTGCAGTTGGGAGATCACCAACCCTTGTACGCATCTTAGAAAACCTACCATCACCATGTGCTTTCAAAAATTGGGAGCCAGTCTCACAATACAAGCTAATTGAATGAGCAGTGTATTTACTGAGATTACCTTTTATTTTCTTAGATATGTTATTAATATAGCTCAGATAGCAGTGTTCCAATATCTCAGGGGCTGCCACAAAGAAGAGGGAGTCAAGCTATTTTCCAAGGCGCCTGAAGGCAGGACAAGAAGCAACGGGTGGAAACTAATCAAGGAGAGAAGCAACCTAGAACTAAGAAGAAACTTCCTGACAGTTAGAACAATTAACCAGTGGAACAACCTGTCTCCAGAAGCGGTGAATGCTCCAACACTGGAAGTTTTTAAGAAGAGACTGGACAGCCATTTGTCCGAAATGGTATAGGGTTTCCTGCCTGAGCAGGGGGTTGGACTAGATGACCTTCAAGGTCCATTCCAACTTTACTATTGTTGTTTTTGTTGTTGTTGTTGTTGTTGTTGTTATTATTATTATTATTATTATTATTATTATTATTATTCCAAAACAGCAAAGGGTTAGGACCTTTAGCATGCATGGGAAGTATGTTAGGTCCATTTTACTAATAATCCAGGATGTCGAAGCTATGACTTAACCATGAGAACTACACAGTTAGGAATACAATTGGATTCCCCATCTCTTTGAGTAATGAAAGAAAAAAAATATTAATGGCACCAATGAGACTAGAAAAAATTGGCTTCATATAATAAGTAATGCAGTCAGCACGGAAGTACAACTGACATGTTGCTCTTAGCTTCTACCTCACTTCATGGTAGTATGGTTAATTTGGTCCTATCTCAAGAGCTTGTGCATTCCCCAGGAAAAAACGAAACTAGCTCCATTTTGGATGTTTTAGTTACATGTAAGGAAAGTCAGATCTTCTGGTTCTCCACTCATAACATAATAATAATAATAATAATAATAATAATAATAATAATAATAATAATAATAATAATAATAATAATAATAATAATAATAATAATAATAATAATAATAATAATAATAATAATAATAGTAAAGTTGGAAGGGACCTTGAAGGTCATCTAGTCCAACCCCCTGCTCAGGCAGGAAACCCTATACCATTTCGGACAAATGGC